TGGATAGGTAGACATCACTTTGGCAAGAAAAAAGAAATTTCCAAAAATTATGCCTAAGCCACCTTTTTGCTTGGCTCGGCTCAATTTATAGTGAGTCTGTGCATGTAGATCTACGTGGGTATTGTCCTGTGCTGTGACCTCCTGCCATTCCTCCTGCCATTCCTCCTGCCATTCCTCCTGCCATGGTACATGTACATGACATCAAGAGTATGTAACCCCCCCCCCCCCCCCTCCCGGTTTATACACTTGATACCATGTACAGTGCGTATCGGTTATAGTGTGGTCGTATACAAGAATATACTGCTTACAAGAATGAACACTCATTTTTTCATAATCATAACACATACTTTATGTGTATATTTATTCTTACAAGCAGTATTATCGCATAGTGGAATATATCGGCCCTAAGAATGGATTTTGTGTAGCAAAATATGCCAGATTAGTGCAAAGGGTATCGCCTGTAGTAATAACATCTGTGCTCTGTGCATACTCAATACAATAATATTCAACACAAAAAGAGTTATGCCCAAGGGAGCATTGGAGAATCACTTTTTCTGTCCAGTCGGACTCTTTCTTCCGACTTCTCTCGTATCCGCTGCTCCGCAGTCGCCTAGCACGACCGCGAGTCTGATTGATCCGTGTGTATCATGCGTACGTGTCCACATGCCAAACGTGCGCGCATATGATATGTCACACGTGCATATGATACGTCACACGTGCATATGATACGTCACACGTGATTTATCGTGTGTAAGAAATATCGGGAATAAGAATCAAATGTCGTTTTTCAAACACCCACGCTATAACCGATACCTACTGTACTACCTCTACTTATTGCACACATCATCATGGGTGGACATCCTGAGCTGCGCACATATATGTTTGAGCTCGGGCCTTTTTTTTTTTTTTTTTTTTTTGGGCCGAACATTGGTCCGGCAGCTGCCGGACCTGCCGGACCGCCTGCTACGGCCCTGTCATGTATTCTACAAATAAAAATCACGAAGTAGTGGACTTTATAGTGATGAGTCTATCCTGTATGCTGCAAAAGACGCAGGAAAGGTGACTGGTGTCCGTACACTGGACGCCAATATCATCCCAGTCTTCTCCTGCAGGATCTGTTTGACATTGACATACCGGTATGCAGTGGGTCGACATTGGCCTGGTTTGGCAGCTATCTGCCTGGGTGGATGTAGCAGGTTTGCATTGGCGCGTCGTCCAGTCCGACATTTTCTTGTAACTGTGGAGTACCGGCAGGGTTTGAGAGGTTGCTCGTGCTGTGAAGACATCTCTACTGCCTGTCTCGTCCTGGATGTGCCGTCTCGCCGCTTCCTTGCTCTACAGTCACATCGTTATTTCGCTTTGTTTCGTGGTGCAGCTCAAAACCTGGCCAAACAACTGTGAGCTCGCAACATGGTATGGACAAATTGCACCACTCATGCTGGTTAACTAAAACCGGGATAGTCGAGTAAGCGAGTTCACGCCCTGGGCCATGGCAAGATCTGTTCAGCGCGGGCTATTCCAACCTCCAAGTGCATAGTCACCGATCGATCCATGCGATGGTGGTTGACCTACAAAGAGCCAAGGTCTACAAGTACTACTATTGGATGCTGTCTACATGCAGTCACCAAAATCAAAGTACCTCCGTATGCCCCAAAATAGGGCATGTGCACCTATAGCATGACACAACAGGGGTTCTGGCGGCACCTGTCAAACAAGCAGTAGCGACTAGTGCCAGCTACCTATTGGAGGCTAGCCGCTACAGTCTGTCACTGGAGATAATTATTATGTTCACTGTTTAGACTGAGCACAATCAATGATGCCCAATCAATCTGCCCAATGTGTGTTCTGTTCCACCTAATTATAACGTCCCATCGCATCAACTCTACTACACGCACATGTCGTCACTCTAGCATGACTTGTGTTATTATTGTTTATTTTGATTCGCACGACAAATAGAGCACAATAAACGTTAACTTGACCGAAGGATAAAGGCGACTGCAGATAGAGGAACACACCGAGGTACAGGTACCGGCATCAATACAGTATCAGAGAGAAACAAACAAAAATGAGAGGTACGCAGAAAAAACTCTCGTAAGCCCAAGGGGAAGTGGTTGATGAGGGATGAATGCACTCTCCACGCTCATCTACACTGTTCGTGGAAATGCACACATACATACAATAATATACAACATAGCAATAGCATGCACAGAACCGAACAATTTCATGTTCACACATGCAAGCACAGACCTGAACATTAGTACCAAAAGCCGATACAGACAATATCCCCATACACACAGACGCACACACACACACAATGTCCCATGTATGCGCCCGTGGCGAGAAAAGCGCGCAAATCTACAAATGCACTGGATGTGAACCCACATATTTTCTCTTATAGCAACGATAGCGGATCTGATTCTGAATGAAACACACACACACACACACACACACACACACACACACACACACACACACACACACACACACAATACAATCATTGAATGCCCATCCGCAGATGATGGCAGGTCCTGAAAGAACAGGCAGTGTTCCAGTAATGGGGAACAGAACTTCGAGTGGCGAGTGAGGTATACACACACACACACGTGCGTGCGCGGGCACACACTAAAGTATTCAGAAATATTATCGACATTGTAGTATTCATTGGTTGGGGAATGGAAAGGAAAATAAAACATTGCTGTAGGTTATTGTTGTAAGGACACTGGGAGCACAACAGAAAGGTAAGTAACTTGCTTTGAAGCAAAGAAAGTTATTATTCCACGGATCTCAGAAGGAACTGAGGAACGTTCCAGAATGCTGCACTGGCAACAGGCGGCCTGCATGTGCGCGGCACCTGCAGTCGGTACAGCTGCCGGCCTTGCAGTGCTGAAAAGAATGTGCAGTCCAGCATGTCACATAGTATCGCAGCCTGGACAAATAGGCGCTGGGAAGTCCTAGTTATGTGCTCACCTACACCACGATGCACCAATCTTCTGAGCTACTTTGGCAACAACTTTGTCCACTTGAGACTCCCATGGGCTGAGCCAGTTGTTGAGGGCTGCACCAAGGTGGACGACAATGACCGCTGATGGCAAGGCAATCCATGACACACAGTCACTAGGGCATCGTCAACATGGCGCTGAGGCTGGATCGATAAAATCAACCTTAAGGCTGTCGCGGGGTTGACAACGAGGCCGCTGTCTCGAAGCTAGTCAGTCAGCCTGGTCACCGCCATTGACGAACCAGTTGCCACAGCCAGCAGTGGCGGTAGGTTGTGACAAGTGTGGTGCAATATTGTCAGCAATTTCAGTACTTAGGATAAAATGAGTGACAAAGGGAACGTTGTGTTTGATAATATTGAAGTGAACAGGGATGTTCACAAACCCTGCGCGTACTCCACCGTGAGTTACAAGAAAATTCCGGACTGGACGACGAGCAAACGCCAACCTGCTACATCCCACCAGGCAGATACTATTACGATAGCTACCAAACCAGGTCAATGCCGACCTACTGCATAATGTCAATGTCAAACAGATCCTGCAGGAGAAGGCTGGGGTGTTGGCGTCCAGTCACTGAGTGTACAGACACCAGTCACATTTCCTGTGTCTTTTGCAGCATACAGGCTGAGACTCATCACTGTAGAGCCCACTACTGCATGAGTTATATTTGTACAATACATGCCAGGCGTACACGGTGTGCCTCGCAGGACTGCGAGGTGCTGCAGAAGACCAGGTTCGACCTTTCTGGACGGCCATTCACCGACGGTGGGCTACACGATGCTGGAGGAACTAGATTCCAGTGAAAACCCAAGATTCCTTTGCTCCTGGACGCTCCGACGTGTTGTGATATCTGCCAGGTGCGCAGTAACTAGTATTTTCATCGCTACAGCGAGGTCGACGCCGATCGGCAAACTCTCGCTCGCAGCCATCACCAGCCTCTCAAAACCATCACTTGGCATCCCCCAGAGGTACAGGAGAAAGCCAAAACAGCTCACAACAAACAAAAGCTAAGGACGATGGAAAGAGAGCATGTCAAAAAGAAGACGAACAGTATGAAGTTCAAATGGTTTTGAACACTCGTACCACCAACTATACCACTTTCAATAAATCGTGACGCCATTTTGTTTTAACATGAATATCGCGTATTGTCCAACGAATAATTATAATTATTTTACTGTTTACGCTGTTTCGTGTTTGATGGCGGTGTGAACTACCGTCAGCTCTCACTCTTGTGAGAGTACTCGTTCTTCCAGCAATGTGCTGAGCCTGATGAGCGGCGGTGACGCTAGAGATGAGGGATGTTGTTCTGTTTTTAGGAGACATGGCTCGGGCAAAACCCGGTGCCGAGCGGGAACGTTCAATGCTCGCTCGTTGAGAAGTAAAATAAAGAAACAACTTATTATTCAGGACTTTGAACAATACGACCTAGACGTGCTCGGAGTGACTGAGACCTGGATTGACGGAAATGGAGTTGACACAATGGACAACGGACATGTCATGTATCGCTCTGGAGGGTCGTCTGGTCGTGCCGGTGTTGGAATACTTATCCACAAACGGCTGAAAAATAATATTGTCTCGTACAAATTCTACTCGGAACGAATCATCTCGATCCGACTCGCTATAAATCCGCGCAGGGACAGCAGAACAGTTACCGTCGTGTGCTGCTATGCTCCAACCCTGCAGCGCTCTACAAAATATCCTGCTGAAGCTGACAGCTTCTACTCCGTCCTGAGTTCCATTGCAGGCCAAGTGAAACGGAGAGATGAACTGTGGATACTTGGAGATTTTAACGCCAAAGTAGGAAGCTCGGTCGAAGGGAGAAGTGGCCCAGTAGGTTCTTACTCCAAACATACATCTAACAATGCCAATGGTGATAGACTATTAGACCTGTGTGGTGAGCATGGGCTGGTGCTTTGCAACACTCTGTTCAAGCACAAATTACAGCATCGCTCCACATGGTTTGCAGATGGATTGACATACTCTGACGGCCGTGCGGTGCGGAATATGATTGATTTCATCGCAGTGAAGACTGGTGGACTAACATCAGTCACCAATGCAAGATCATATGGAGGATTCCGCACCAGATCGGATCATCATCCGGTAATTGCCGACTTTCGTCTCTCATTTGGACCAGCGAAGCCTGCGCCAAAGTCTAAGGAGCGATGCTTCTCCAAATACAACCAACCTACAGAGATAACCAGGAAACTCTATCAGTCAGCACTACTTGAAAATCTTCCGGAGATCCAGCTCTCCCAAGTATCGCCTCAGGTTATTGATAACCTGTGGGATGGCTTTGTGACGGTTGTGCATGGTGCAGCTCTAGGTGCATTTGGGAGGGCAAAGGTTCGACACAAGTCGGTCCGCAGCATGAATACTGAAGTGTCTACGCTGTCGCAACGGCAGAAAGAGCTTCACATCCAGAAGGATGCGGAACGTGATCCTGAAAGACGGCAACAGCTAGCAAGAGAACGCAATCAAGTACTGCATAAAATACGATCAATATTACGAAAGGAGGGTGACCAATTTTGGCAGGAGAAAGCAACAGAAGCAGATGCATTACGGCCCGACGCACGGTCATACTACAATGCAATTCGTAACATCCGCCAACTTCGTTCCTCAGTCAGCCAGCCACCTGTCAGACTTGCAAACAAAGATGGTGAAATCATGGCGGACGTCCAGTGGAATCTCGATGAATTCCGCAAGTATTACTTGTCCGTATTCCATCGCGATGACGTCCCTGCTGCAGTCGACCACCCAGCAGATGGAGAGGTAACACCTGATGAGGAGCCATTTACTCAGGAAGAAGTTCGAGCAGCAATCTCACGGCAAAAACCGGGTGGTGCTGCTGGACAGGATGGAGTTTCCGCTGTTTTGCTGCAGGCCGGTAAAGATACAATCACCACTTGGTTAACAACATTCTTCAACGCTGTTCAACTGGCAAAGTATTGTCCAGAAGACCTCAGACGCGGTTTGATCGTGCCCATATATAAGCCAAATAAGCCTGCCGGCTTCCCCAAAAGTTACCGACCAGTTATGCTTCTGTCGGTGATCAGAAAGGTCCTGACCCGTATTCTCACACAGCGCTGCACTACATTCGTGGACTCCTTTGTGCCTGAAAGCCAGGCTGGCTTCCGCCCTGGGCGGTCGACTGCGGACGGAGTATTCTTCACAAGAATGATGTGCGAGAGGGCCTTGCTAGGAGACTGGAGTTACTCAGCGGCGCTTTTAGATTTCAGTGGCGCATTTGATACAATAATCAGGCAGACTGCTGTTGACCGTCTGGCTTCGGCAGGTGCACATGTTAGCACTATTCAGCAACTAGTCTCCGAAACCTCTGCTTGCGTGAAGCTGGGAAAGCAACTCAGTCAGTCATTTCCAACTAATGTTGGAGTGGTGCAGGGGGACCCCCTGTCACCCCTTATGTATATTGTCTACGCAGAAGGTGCAATGCAGAGGATCAGAGAAGCCTGCCCAGAACAAGTCAATCTACCTACTAAGTTCACCCTGTATGCAGATGATACAACAGTGCATGACCACAGCCGGACAGCAGTTGAAGCAACCGTAGAGAAATGCGAACCCATCTTCGCAGAAGACAACTTAAAACTAAACATCAGCAAAACACAATTTGTAACAGCTACAAAGTCAGATGCCTCCTGGAGGTCGGTCAAACTGTTGGGTTCTCGTCTGGGGTCAGCGGAGGACATTGATGCACGTATCATAGCAGCGAACCGGGCATTTTCCAGTGTATCATGGAAACGCCATACCCAGCAGTCCCGCTTAAGCATGTTCAACTGTCTCATTTTGCCAGTTCTCCTATATAACTGCGCGCTATGGACTCTAACAAAAGCCTTAGAAAGCAAAATTGATGTATGGCACCGCCGTAAACTCAGATACATACTTGGAATCATCTTTCCCAATAAAATTTCGAATAATGCTCTTTATGCTAAAACTGCTCAATGCCCAATAAGTGCAGTCTGTAGACGCCGGCGCTTATTATGGTTTGGACATGTCATTCGTGAAGGGAAGGACGCTGTGTCGTACAAAGCCCTTCACATGGCAATGAATATAACAGATATAAAGAAGCCCAGAGGTCGCCCAGTGACCAGATGGGTAGACAACATTAGGAATGACCTTTTACTTCTCAATATGTCTCTTTTGGAAGCGGAGCAACTTGCCTCAGACAGAACGCACTGGCTCGACGTTGTCGACAGATGCATGACCCTCATTTGATTTTTCATATGAGCTATATGCGTGCTGTATTATTATTATTATTATTACGCTATGGGTAACATGAAACGTTCAGCTCGCCCTAGAAAGCGACCCAAACGATAGACCGATCCCCTTATTATTGTCTGGGTTCGAGCAAGGGGGCAACTCCGCAGTCGAGTCGCGTGGGATCCTGCTGCACACACGCGGCCAACCTCACCTCGGCTGTGCGTGACTTCTCGCATGCGAAGTGCAGAGCACGCGAAATCTACACGCAGTGCAAGCCTGTCTACAAAAATGCCACAAGGACTTTTGATTTGAGCTGTTTTGTTTTTGTTTAGATCTTCCTTTTTATGACTTCAGGATGCCTTCTCAGGATCATTGCTGCGTTCCTCACTGTCAGAACAGGAGGACGAAGCAAACAAGTCATTTCACTCCTTTCCTCGTGTGGAGCCACAGCGGCCTGGAGCAAGCGGATCCAGGCTATTCCCCGTGCGGAAGGACGTAGTTTTAGGGTCACTCTGAATATTTGAGTTGCAGCGATCATTTCGATCCCGAAATCGAAATCGTTTTGCCCAGTTCTACAAGGGCAGGATGAGTCCAGGAAACCAAACAGCTGTCCTACGGTACCAGGTTTGCTTTTCGCAAGAGAGTGGAGTCTGGACGCTCTGCTCCCCATGCTCGCAAAACAGTATTTGCTGAGCCTAGTGCAGTTCGGTCCTATAATGGAAGTGCAGCGTCTGCATCACGAGCTCCCCATGCACGCAAACCAGTATTTTGCTGAGAGGCAACGGCATTTTGAGTTGGAAAGGAACCTAGCTTAGTGCAGTTTGGTCCTGTAATGGAAGTGCAGCATCTGCATCAGGAGTTGGCAGCAAGTAGAGCTCGTGTACAGAGTCTCGTGGAGCAGTTGGACGATGGGGTGAAGAAAGCCGAAAAACAGCTTACGTAGTACAATAACATAAAGAAAGACTCTGAGCCGCTCCAGTTTCTGACTGGTTTGCCTTCAGGTGTTTGGACCGCTCTGTGGGACTTCTTTGAGCCTAGCCGAGAAAATGTACTGCGCCGAGCTAGATCTGCGAAGACGGAAGCTGAGGGACGGCGGATACAGTTGGAGGTGGCCGTAAATCGCCAATGAGCATGTAATGGAGGATCAGCTGCTATTGGCATTGATGTGTCTAAGCCTGGGCCGAATGGAACAGAAGCTGGCATGCGTGGGACAAGTTAATCATCCGTTTCACGGTATATACTATATAGCTAGCTGAGCTGGAAAGATGTCTTGTTCCTCCGTTTGGGCATGATCCCCATTTGGGCGAGCTGGCGAGATGTTCAGTCATCAATGCCATGTGCCGCAAGACATTCTGCATTGTGGATGAAACAGTTCTATTTTTCCATGCACTTTGGGTTCTCGCATCAGCACGGCATAACAAGACCCAACAGATCCTTGCGCTCTAATTTTCTCCGATGGTAACATTGCTGATCACAACACCCGGTAGCCAGTCGCAGATGCAACCAAATCAACCCGGTTCTCTTACTCTCTTTTTCCAATACTGAAACCAAAGGTATACGAATATTTGCATCGAATGCAGTAATGATTTCAATGCTGTCCACTAGTACAGTGCATTACCAGACTGGCATATAATCATGATAATATTATCCATTTCGCAATCACTGTCATTGCTTTCTTAGATATTCAATCATCAATATCGGACCATAAACCGTCTATCATCTTATATTATATCATCATTAGTATCCTGCTACTATCCTCCTCTAACGATGGGCTCGAAGAAAAGAAACAGCGGTCTAGAGGCGTAAACAATATCTGTCAACGGAAGTGTCCTTGCTGTGCTGGTGTGTTTATGCTTCGTGCATTAGTTCGGCCAAGAGCGCATGGTTGTGGCAGGTTGAGGATGTTTAATATACTAGAAAATAGTTCACTCTGAACATGCAGGGGTTCGAAAGAACCGCACACACACTTTGCTGCAGACAGCGGCAAGCTTTGGCCCTCGTGCTTCGAAGAGGGAGCAATCCACTGCGCTACGCTTGCGATTAAAGGGGAAGTTAAGGCAAAAATTAAAATTTCACCAGTTGTAGTCTTCGGGGTGCTGAGTCGAATGGTCGTGGTCCGAGGAAGCTGAGACGCTCCCTTCCTACTTGAATCCCACTCGAACTCGCGCACTTCCACCGAAACTGGGTGACTGCGCCCTACTAGATGGGGATTTGTATGCAAAATGTCACCAAAAGCGCCATTTCGTTCTTATAAAAGCATGGATGACCGCGATTGGCCCATATGTTGTAGTCTTTTGGACGCTGAGTCGATTGGTTTTGGTCCGAAAAGGCTGCGATGCAGCGTTCCTCCTTTATTCCCAATCGAACATGGTTGCCTTGAAAAAATCCTGCAGCGGCATCATAGTCTATGTCTCTCTCGGGGACTCTGCTCCTACCAGCAGGAGGTTTAGCACCGCTCGAAGCCATCGCAAACTACTTGAACTAAGCAGAAGACATTCCAAAACAAACCTGAAACACACTGTCAAAGATGCTGTCACGTTCAAAAACTAGCTCGATCGCGAGTGAGGTTGCCCCCGTGCTCGAACCCAGTATAATAAGGGGATCGGTCTATTCCTTGACCTTGGCCAGGGAGTAGCTAGCGCTGCTGCAGCTGAGCAACTGTCTGAGTCGGATGCTGCTGCTTCTTCCTCTGCGTCGCGGCGCAAGCTGAGTTTGTTTGAGTATTCCTGCATGGATATCTGCAAGTAACTCATCGAGCTGTGACAGCAGCTCGAACTCCTCGAGCACAGAGCAGGATTCATCCAGTGAGTGCTGTGATAGCAGCGACTCGGAGAGTGGCCTGGAGGGAGAACATGGTTCTGGCACTGGTTTACTGTCCGGTTATCGTTTAGTAGATCTGACCTGCTTACAATTACTTATTTGAAATTTCTGAAGCTTGTTCGTGCAAAATTTGTGGAAGGAGTGACATGGTAGTCAATGAGACGCAGCGTTCTGGTCTAGCTAGTTCAGTTAGTATTTGTTGCTCAAATGATGATTGCACTCTGCGTGTAGAGCTTCCATTGGTGCCGAAGAACAATCAGTATTTTTTTTACTGCAACAGGCGAAGTGTTCTGGCTGTTAGATCAATTGGCCGTGGCCACGGCGGGTTACGCAGATTTTGCGGCGTCATGAATCTTCCGAAGCCTGTTTCTAAGGCTGCATTTCAACGCCACCAAAAACACCTCTACACTGCTGCAAAGTCTGTTGCTGAAGCTAGTATGCAGCGAGCAGTTGCAGAAGTCAAATCTCTGAACGCGAAGAAAGAACAGGACCTGAACGTGGCGGCAGTAACGTTCGACGGCACGTGGATGAAGCGAGGCTTCACATCCCTTCATGGCGCATTCACGTGCATCGACTGGGACACCGGCCTGGTTTTGGATTTACATGTCAGCACCAAGTACTGCCAGGCCTGTAAACAGCAAGCAGAAAGAAAGGAACGCGGTCGCATCAGTGCTGAGGAATACACTGCATGGAAAGAGGAGCATTCCACAGTGTGTCCCATAAACACAACGCGGTCAGCACCCGGCATGGAATCAGAGGCTGCTGTAGTATTGTGGCAACGTTCAGTGGCAAGAAATGGTCTAGAGTACCATTCTTTTATTGGCGATGGTGACTCAAAGGGCTTTTCTGCAGTCAATGAAACATAACCGTATGGACCGAATGTGACAGTCAGGAAAGAAGAGTGCGTCGGCCACGTGCAAAAACGCATCGGTACCCACCTGCGCAAGTTAAAGCAGACCATGAAAGGCCAGAAATTGGACGATGGCAAACCACTTGGTGGTCAAGGCAGGCTCACTGATCCCCTCATAGACACCCTGCAGACGTATTATGGGAATGCAATCAGAAGCCATCCCCATGATCTGTAAAGCATGGCGAAGGCTATATAGGCTGGCCTTTTTCATCGCGCATCCACTGACGAACGTCCACAGCACATGTTTTGCCCGACAGGTGGAGACAGCTGGTGCGGTTGGCAGCTTGCTCAGGCGGCAAGCAAGAGCGGTATCAGCACCACAACACGATTCCTGAAGCTGTGGTCAAAGCCATTAAGCCCATCTACAACAATCTCACATCTCGTGCCCTCTTGCTTCGCTGTATGCGGGGTGCGACGCAGAATCAAAACAAGTCATTCAATGGGATGATTTGGTCTTTTTGTCCGAAGACCTCATTCTGTGGAGCAGCTGTGGTGGAGATAGCTTGCTACCTTGCTGTGGCCCAATTCAATCACGGTTCTATCTCGCTGCTC